CTTTCAGCAGATGAATGTGAAAAGATCCTTCAAGTGTCAAACTCTGCATAGACAGCATTCAAACAGCACACTGTAGGAACAGGAACAAACACTGGTTTCTGACTGGAGGGGGGCTTTAAATTCACACAGACTGATGTGTCTGGAAAGAAAAATGTAAATATTTGTTTTTGTTTCTTTGGAGAAATGGAAAGAGAATTTAATTTGGCGGCCAAAAGAAAATTCATGGAATATATACAATCAAACAGGGAAAAGGATCACCTTTCCTGTGAGAGTTCTAAATAGAATAAAAGCCCTTTTATACCCTGCAAAGCATTACAATAATACGCCATTTTGTCCCAATAACAAAAGCAAAGCACTAAAGATACATAATTTGTAGACAATCTCTATACATAACATTGACTGTCATCAGAATTCTCATGCAGGTTTTGGAAGATACAATTCAATTAAATGCAGTCTTTCAGGTCCAAAAAAACCCTCTCATCAGAAGAGCAGTTTTCAGAGCATTGTTGAATCTTCACAGAGGCATTAATACTGGCATCCAGGGGCAGATCTAGAGGGGTGGCAAAAAATGGCTGGCCACCTCAGCTGCTTGGTGTCAAATGCTGTCAAAATTAAGTTTAATTTTAAAAATAATGTGTTAACATATCGAAATTATTTGAATGATATGTTATGGACACATTTAAGACTAAGTTTTCAATGAATAAAAACATGTCAGAATATTTGGAAATAAAAGTTCATTGATCTCTAATACCACCTTTAGATATTTCTATTTCTTCTGTTTTACTAATGTGCCACAATAATGGGTTTAAATATCTTCATTTGAGAGATTTTCCAAGCAAATAATGATATATGTGATTGTGATTAAATAAGCAGATATATCTGCCATCCCTTAGTCTCCATGCCACCCTCTGGACGACACCCCATCGAATATTTCTGTAGATCTGACCCCTGCTTTAGAATGCTTCCAAAATCTTCCCGTAGGAATCCCCTGGATTTCTGGCTATTATTTTTAGTGGTCTGATATAATAGTCATAGATTTATAATAAAACAACAACATAGTTTTATGGGAAACGAGCTACACATTTGTACGTTCTGCTCTGGAGTAATGCCACGGTGTCGTTTTTCGGGCTGTACTCTTTGCATACTCTACGTTTGAACAGGTCAGGCACCCATTTAACCGAGCACACTGCCAAGTCAGAGTAGGGTCAACAACCCCATTGGCGCCCCCACACACACACACACACACACACACACACACACACACACAGATTGCTCACTTAGCCCTCCTGTAGCCTGTGCCTCTCTTAACCCCGCAGCTACGCTTATAAGTCATTACACTCAGGGTCAAGTGTGATCCCTGTGCTTATCTGCATCAACAACTGGCAAGTGTAGGCGTTCTTTTGCACACACACACATTTAAGTACACACACACAGACCTCTGGTAAGTGTTGTGGGTAATAAAAAGTGATTTAGGGAGGGATGTGATTGAAGAGGCAATGCTGCCCTCGTGTGCTCTGCAATTTGTAATTACAAGCGGTCAAAAGATATTATTTGTGGATGATTGGTAAATCCCCAACATAACTCACCCTGCCCTCTCTTCCAGGAACCACATCTCATACACAGGGTCACACACAGTCGCCTCAGATACTGTTTCTAACCCTTACATCCACATGCCAACTTATATGAGCTGAACAACGTGGAAGCACATGGATGTCAGGTGCTGAATCTTAAAATTCTAAATGTGAATAAAACACATCCTGTTTTTGTGTAATAAATAAGAATTGGAGCAGTCTGACATAAGTGTGGGTCTTTATGCTTTATGTGCACTGTAAAACTTACAGTGGACTGTAGAAGTTAATTTACCTGAAAAAAATGTTGAAACTGATTACATCGAAAAACACTGTAGATAGTAATTATAAGTACTTGTTTCTGTAACTTACAAAACTAAGCTAGTGTCACTTAAAAAGCCTAGTAAAAGCTGTGTAATCAAGAATGTTTTTAACTTAAAAAATTGAGCTTGTGTTACTTAAAATGTTTGATGTAACAGTTTTTTTTATAGTTAAAATAACTTATTACATTACAGTGTATTCTGGTGGTCTCAGAAAGTCTGAGTCTCACTCGTCCTATTAGGGCGTAAAAGCTGGAGCCTTCAGCGGTGAGGTGGAACAGTGAGATGTTTTATCTGAGCCGGATCACAAAGATTCTCTTCTCCTTTCCGAAGCTTCTTCAGTCTAAAAGAAATGACTACGGGATGTGCGGCGGACCCAGGGAGGAAACTCCCTTTACCACAGCCCTGCTATCTCTGTGGGAGTTCATTATACACACAGACTGGCCACACACATGAATGCACACACATTCATGAGCACATATTGTATGTACAATACGCACACATGCAATATCTATTGTGGGAGAATATTACACACACACTGGTGGGCAGATGTGTACACCATTCACCGCACTATAAACTAACCATCGAGAATATGTTTCTGTGGACATCCCCTGCTCCACCCATGCAGACAGACTCCCCGACAACCTTCCACCCACAGTCCCTCCTCCACCCACAAGGTGTGGGTTGTGTGTGTGTGTGTGTTGGGGCCAAGGATAGAGTAGTGAGTCTGTGACACTGAGTTACTTGTGTTCAGATGACAGATGTTACAGTAAAACAGACTAATACCACTGAGGGGTCACACATAGGGTCAGGACACGTTACACAGCCATCATTGACATAAACATTGACATAACATTGACATTGACAACCTGTAATTGAGTAATATCACAGGGTTGCAACTACTAATAAATTTTTCAATACGATTACTCTCTCAATCATTCTTTCGAATAATTGTCTATAGAATGTCTAGATGAGTTCAAGACCCCTGAATCACCACCAACACCTCAGATTTGTTGAGAAATACAGATTGAATGAAGTTAAACAAAACAGCAATTTAGTCTGATCGTCGTTTTTGCTAGATTGATGACTGAATAGTCAATTAATTTCCAGTTGCTGCCATTAATCGACTAATCTTTTCAGTACTAGATTATTACTACTGCGAAGGAGGCTATGTTTTTGGTTTATCTGTTAGTTAGCAGCAGAACATCTCTAAAACTAATTTAGGCCACAGGACAAAGAAAAACACAGTTAAGACAGTGCCACCATGATAACAGCCACGGTCAGGAGAAGGATAAAAGGAAAAAACGAAAAACCGGAGAAATGTAAAAAAAATAATAAAAATGGAGACCCATTCCCCCTTCCACCGTTTCTGTTTTCCTCCCTCCGAGCTACTTTAACTCCGCTCTCTGCCGACTCCTGATTGGTGAATTAAAGAAACATAAAAAAAAAAAAAAAGACGTTAGTTTATATCTACGCCATTTTTGTTTTGTAGCCCCCCCTCCACCCTCATCCTCCTGTGCCCACCCCTCTCCCCATCCCCCCCAGTAGATATGAAGTACAGCTAGGACCATGTTGCTACCCTGTATATAAACTGCCCTGAGGACTGCCCACTATCCCAACTCAACACTGCATGTCTCAGCTCTGTTGTTTAATTTTTAGACTGTTATATTGTGTACATGAAATTAAAAAAACACAAAAACAAACAAAAAAACACCATCGAGAATATTAAAGTAACAAAATGTTTTTTTCTTTTATCCCTGTTTTGTTGGTTTTATTCTGCTTTATTTTCTAAAAAGCACATCTTCTCATGTTACCGTGCCAGTCTGCGTATAAGCGTAATAAAAAAATAATAATAAATGATGATATGAATATGAAATGTTTGTTGGTCCAAGTTTCACATGTACGCTGCAATGCAAGAAAAAAAATTATACAAAAAGACTAAAACTAACAACTAAACGGCAATCATTGTGGTTTTCTATTTTATCTGGAATGATTGAAGTGTGGCAGACGGGGGTGCAGGCGGCGTGCCTGAACGCCATTGGAGCTCATTAATCCTGTAAGCGATAATCTCATCCTTTTACGTAATGGCGAATAAAGACAGCTTTCTTTGTATTAAAGTAGATCTGTATTGTTATCTGCAGCGAGCTGCTGTTTCATGTAAGAACCGGCGTCCATATGCCAGCCCCCCCCGCCCCCCGGTCCTCACACCAAACGCCGTCGCAGTGTGAAGGACCTAAACAGGACCACGTTAAGACGCCTATCACAGCTCACTCTCAAGGTGCGTTACAGCGAGTTACGAAAACCTTCTTGATTTTAAGTTGTATAAGAAAACTATAAATATTATAGAACAGTAGGTCCTATTTTCTCCAGCATTGTTCACTTCGTGAAGAAATGTAAATAAATTGTCTGAAGAACAACGAGACAGAAAAACACAAATTGTCCAAAAAAACCTGATAAGTTAAAAATTGAAAAAAATACAGAATACAGACAGAAAATTCCCCTTCGCATTCAGTTTAGGTGGCCTGAATCGTAGGCCAACTCCTCAAAAACCCTTTACATTATCTAACAAAGTACACAAACACTCAACACCCAACAGACAGCATGAGTCTTATCTGTCACCTTCAATCGAGGCCACATGCATCATAATAAGTCTTTATAAGTACCTAATAAACGAATAGCTACTAATATGCCCTAATAAGGAGTAAGGAAAAGCATTTATCTTTGTGGTTCAGTGGTCCCGAACCTGGGGGTTGGGACCTTAACTAGGGGTCGCCAAAGCTCAACGCATCGCAAGCCTTTTGATATTTAAAAATATACACAGTAAGCTTAAATTGTCCAAAAAAGAGCTTATTGAAGTCTGTTGATTGTAAGAAAAAAAAAACATTAATATGACAGAAAATGGTTAAAAATTCCCTAACAGAAATAATCTGCTCAAAATTCATCCCAAACTCTGGTTTACACAAACTATCCTGCAAGTTCCAAGTCACTGTTTGAGTTTCATTGACAGTTTTTAATAAAATATGAAATACTCGTTTAAAAATATGGTCACTAGAGGACCTTTAAAAATATACTTGAGTTAAATTGTCTTTC